GGATTAATGCCACTTGTGAAGGGTTCCACTTATGGAGATGATTGTAGATCAGTTGTCTTAAAATAAAGATGTAATTCTTCATTTTGACTGGTAAGTGTTAGATTTATAATTATATTTTTGTATCTAACTAGAATTGATGGTCATTGAATGATGTACTTTTAGGTTTTGGAAATAAGCCTGTTTTCTATGTGTAGAATGGTAGTCCTCAATTTGGTGTGCTGGAGAATTCGCAACACCTTTGGAGAGGAAGAAAAAAAATTATTGAATAAAAAGCAAGTGTCTGTTTTACAGGACGGACGGGGTCCAGTATTTATAATACTGGTGTGACATGTCTTGATGAAATTAAGCCGCCACACTAGTGTCTTTAGTTGCCCAAGAGGCAAACTAAATTTGGTCAAGGATTTATTTCTTACTTTTGCTATTTATTTACGTGCTTTCAACATTTATTTATAGTTTATGATGAGTTATTTTTGTTTTATGTATATTTGGATTTAATGATCATAATGAATGATCTTCATTCTTTTTTTGAATTATCCGAAACTCATCTAAGATCAAGTTAAGATCATTCCTAACTTGTTTTCTATTGATTTTCAAAGTCGAATCTTGACGTATTCATATTTCTCACATTCTATGAATAATATGTATTTTTTTATTTTTGAACCTAAAATCAACAAGATTAAAGGTTATTTAATGATCGTTGAACTATTAAAATAAGGTGGAGACATTCATCGCTAACCTAATATCATGTGTGTGAATTCTCAAGCACACATTCATCTAAGAATCACGATCATTGTGAAAATAGGTTGACCGTGTTTCTCTTTATCTTTATTATCATCTTATTTCTCTCTCCCTCTCTCTAGTGAGACCTTTTCTTCTCTCTCTATCTCTCGTCAGATCTCTCCCTCTCTCTCTTTCTCTCTCTCTCTCTTGTGAGACCTTCCTCTCTCCTTATCTCACATGAGATTCTCTCTCTCTCTCTCTTCTTTTTCTTCATTCCCTTCTTTTATTCTTCTCACTTCACCCTTCTATTTTATTATTTTCATTAAATAGTGATAAAATATTAAAAATCACGTTGTATATAAATTAAATTATTTTTTCATGATGGATTAATCAATCTCTCTATATTTGACCTAAGACTTACATCTATACTAATATCTTATTAAGTCTTAGTTATAAATATTATTAGATAATGGGCATTTAAATATAATAAGTGAACATCACATGACAAGAAGTACTTTGATGACTCCGCCACACCATACTTGTATAGGAATACCAGAAGTAGTTCGTTTTACTACTATTGGACGTCAAAAACATGTCAGATGAAGACAAGCTCTTTAACTTTATATCTGGATTACAGAATTAGGCACAAGTGAACCTACACCACTAGGGAGCAAGAGATGTCTACTCGACTATGGCGATGGCAGATGTGTCGGTGGATTACAAGGCCACCAACAATTCAGATAGTGGCATTGTTGGAGACAGCTCAGGGAAGAGCCATAAGGTGGGCTGTAATAGTGGAGGCAACAATTGTACAAATCGTTGCCATGATTGCAGTGGTGAGCAAGGCCGCTGTGATAATAACCAAGGGCAGTAGCCACAAAGGGGTCAAGGAGGACCCAAAGTAGATGTATCATAGAACAAGTCGCTGAAGCAAGATTGTTACTTCTGCTCATGACCACATTGAGCTAGGGATTGTCCATCTCAAGAAGAAAAAAGCTGCCCTTAAAGGTATGGTGTAAACTACACCACAACATATGGCATCCCACTTTCAACCTCCTTTAACTGCTCAATATCTTGCAGCAACAACAAAGACTAAGTAATTTGGGAGAATGTGGGTTGATGTACGTAGAAGCCACCATTAATGACCAACTTATGACATTCATTGTCGATAGTGGGATGACCCACAACTTTCTCTTTGCAAAAGAGACTACTTGGTGGGGCCTGACATTGTCATGAGAAAATAGTCACATCAAAGCTGTCAACTTGGTGGCACCTTTCTTGATTAGAGCCACAAGTAGCCCAACGATTATTAGTAATGTGGGAAGGTCTAGTGGACTTCTTGGTCCTCCCCATAGATGACATCAACATCATCTTAGAGATGAATTTTCTGACCAAGGCCCTAGTAATAATCTTCCCTTAGTGACACGAAATCTTACTAGCAAGGGGACCGACCAACACTTTATTTTGCATAGGCGATGAAGACGGCATGACAACGGCTGGATGTGCTCTCAATATTGTAGAATTTAGGACAAGTATGACTCGATTCGTCTTGCCCCCATGGCCAATGACATTGTACATGACCTTTACTGTCAACAAATTGAAGGAGTTGTCATAGTGTGTGCCCCATATGTTGGAAGAGTTCCAAGACATGATGCCAAACCTCCCTCCAGCTCAGCTCTCACAACAATAGGAGGTGGATCATGAGATCAAGCTTCTATTAGGGGTGCAACTACCAATATGTATTCCCTACAAAAGGTCAAATAATTGGGAGGCTGATAAAGGTCATACACATCTACCCTTCCAAAGCTCCCTTCGGCGCCCTTGTCCTTTTCTAAAAGAAGAAGGATGAATTTATACATCCATGCATATATTATCAAGCACTAAACAAGGTGACCGTGGCGAATAAGTACCTAGTCCTTAATGCAGAGCTATTTGATCAATTGAGAGGTGCTAGATACTTCTCACATATGCACCTAAGGAGTGGCTACCATCAACTCTGCATCAAGCAAAGAGAGGAGCAAAAGACAACTTGTACAACTCAATACAGATTGTATGAGTTCATGGTGATGTCTTTTTGGCTTCATCAATGCGTTGGCAACATTCTACACCTTGATTAATGCCATCTTTAAATAGTACATCGATAAATATGTTGTTGTGTACTTAGATGATTGTATAACCTCAACTTGGACAAGCACACGGAGCACCTATGAATAGTATGTCCACATTTTGAGAGCACAAGCTTTACTTGAAGTAAGAGAAGTGTGAATTTGTACTAAAGGAAATTGTCTTCTTATGCCACATCATCAAGAAGAATGGCTATGTGAACTATTACTAGATGTTCATCTGGAGATATTCTTAGCAAGCAGCACCGCTGATGGATTTATTGAAGAATCGTGTGCATTGACATTAGTCAGCAAAATGCCAACACACCTTTGACAACCTCAAGCAAGTGATGATGACCGAGCTGACGCTATGGTCGTTTGATTTCAACATGTTGCTTGAGGTACACATTGATATGTTAGACTTGACGATCAATGGAGTGCTGATGTAGGATGGACATATGATTAGCTTCAAAAGTCAGAAGCTCAACAACATAGAGCAGCGGTACTCCATGTATGAAAGGGAGATGACAATAGTGGTCCACTATCTATAGGTCTGACATCATTATCTTCTTGGTGGACTGTTCGTGGTATATATAGATAATGAGACGACAAGCTATTTCCAAACATAGTGCAAGCTCACACCTAAGTAGGCCAGATGATAGGATTTCTTAGTGGAGTACAACTTTAAGTTGTGGTACAAACTAAGGCATGTTAATGGTTGTCAACGACCTAAGCCACAAGGAGCCAGAGGATGTCATAGCAGCTCTCTCTATAGCAACGAACACCATCTTGGAGGAGATTCATGTCACATTGTAGAGCGACAAAGAGGTGAGGTGAGTAATGTAGCGAGCGGCTGTAGGAGAGACTTGTTGTTTCTAGATGAGGACCGGGTCCTCTTTGCACTCAGGTGATGACTATATGTGCTATGGGCAGACAGATTATGACAGCGATTGCTAAAAGAGGTGCATGATACACCTCACTCCAGTCATCCTAGGCAAGAGCACACGATGGCACTACTATTCAACAACTTTTAGTGGCCCAACATGAACCAAAATGTCAAATCCTATGTTCAATCTTACTTAGTGTGCCAACAGGACAAGACATAGTGCACCAAGGCAACCAGCATGCTGGACCCACTGCCCATTCCGAGTGAACCCATTTGTGTTCGTGCCAACACAAATGGGCAGCTCAGTGGAAGAGGAGGCTATGGTGACACCTTGATTTTAAGCTCCCCAAATCCGCCTATAGACCAGCCCATTGAGCTTGCAACTGCTTTGTGCCTAGATTGTAGTAGAGTTTATTCAGACATTGCAGATGTCGATTCTTAGTTTGGTGACTAAGCATATAATTAGTTGGATGGAACAATTTTCTAACAGAGTTCGACCGCAAAATAAGCCCGGAAATAAGAATAAACTCAGTTAGACGCCCGATTAGTCTGAACCTCCACCCTCCGAGCCCACCCGACCCCTCCGGCTCTCCCATGTCTGCCTGCCCTTTTCCTCTCCGACACCCCCATTCTTCCTGCCTAATTAAATCTGCCCACTTCTTCTCACGATCCTAGAACGGTAGACCCCAAATCACTGGGTTCCGGGAGTGCCTTGCATCAGCCGGGCCACCTGGGTATCTCCCTGAGCCAGTTGCCTAGGCTTTCGTGTCCGTCGAGCCCATACTCTATAAAAGAATTGGCCCTTTGGGCAACCCAAATTATCGTATGATTTACCTACCTCTTGATTTTTTCACGACTAATACCCTATGAAATGCACACTGTGAGTAAGACGACGGAGAGAAGAGAAGCCTCGCTCTAGAAGTCCGAGAATTCCGCATTCTCCATTTAATAACAAAAAGTCGCATAAGAACAATATAAGTACAATTTCTTTCTCATTTTTTCCCTTTTTCCTCGTCGTTCTGATCCGCATCCCCATTCTCCCTGCAACTGTGGAAGGAAGAAGAAGAAGAAGAGGAAGAGGAAGAGGAAGAGGAAGAGGAAGAGGAAGAGGAAGAAGAAGAAGAAGAAGACTAAGGAAATCCCCGCATTAGAGCACTCGTTGGTGCTGTACAAGATGTACAATACCTACACCACCAAGCAATAGAAGGAGATGAGAGGGAGGCGGGGTGGGAGGCGGGGTGGGAGGAGGATGAAGTGGCAGCAGACAAAGGACGTAGGTTGTACCTTTTTCTCTAGCGGCCGCGCTGGAGGGCCTTCTCGGCAGTGTCGAGCTCCTCGAGGATCCGGGCCTTGCGCTTGGCCGGGATGGGCGCAGTAGGGCCGAAGTTAACGTAGTGGCCGGACACGGCGTTGAGGGCCGAGTACATGTCCCTGAAGGAGGACCGCCCCAGGAGGGCCTTCTCCCGCCGGTACTTGGCCACCCAGGTGTTCGACGCCTCCCGCAGCTCCGCCACTGCCGACGCCACATTCGGGTCGCCTCGCTCCATGGTCAGCGTGGTGCGCACCTTGCCGATCACCTCCGTCGTCTCCCGCACATACTCATCGTCCGTCGCCGCCGTGGACGCCGGCGGCGCTGCCACGGGGAGGAGCAGCAGAGGGAGCCCCCCGGCGAGAGACAGCACCAGCTCCCTCCTCCTGGCGCCGCCGCCGGGCGCAGCGGCAGCAGGGGCGAGGGGCAGCGTCGGCGCGCAGGGTGGAGCAAGGAGCGTCGTCGGCTTAGTTGCGGGCGTGAGCAGAGATGAGGATGCCATCGCCGTCGCCATCTCTTCTTTCTCTCTCTCCTCTCGGCGGCAGTCTCGGCGCTGAACAGAGAGAAAGAGAGAGAGAGAGAGAGAGAGAGAGGAGGGCAGGGCGAGCGAGCCGGGATGAGGGCGGGGGAAGGGCGCAGCTCGGGCGCCACGTCACCGCCCCCTTATCACCTTATCGTCACATGCCAGATGGCGGCGGCTGAATGGTCAGTTCTGTGGATCTATCTGGGTTTCCTCGAGCAGTCGCCACGTCCTCCGCTGGAACCTGCCGTTGGAATTGGAAGTCTGATGGCCCTCATTTTCGTTCATTTATTTATCTCCTGCCCTATTTTTCGCTAATATATTCGCGCGTCCGAACGCACAAAACTCAACGTCAGAGGTTGAAGAATCCCCCAAATCTTCCGTTATGGTCAACCATGTCCTCTCGGACAAACACCCAGAAGAAGGCTACGGGCAGGCCTAGTTATGGCCGAAGGCCAAAAGTCAGAGGAGGAAAAATAAGAGAAAAGGTGAAAGAATCAAATATTTACACCCTGATTTTATAGCAGTATATCGCATCCCAGCACAGATTTTTATTTTTTCTAATTATTCACAGATCGCTCCGCACCACAGTCAACGGGCGTCGTCACGATTGATCCGAGAGCACAGGACGTGGAGTGGACCCTCTCAGCCGATCTTCATGGGTGGGTTGACCAGCAGGGCTCATAGGGACCTTCTGTCGGCCTCCTCCGATGCGGCCTCTGAGTTCCTCGCCTCCGACATCTCATTGGAGTACCTGAAAAAGATGAAAGAGTTTGATCGGGCAAAGTTCCGGCAGAAATTCTCCGTAAATTATTAATAGCAAAGTTTGCAGCTATCGGCTGAAGAGGGAGGCCATGAGAGAGGGGCGGCCCTCACGTCGACAGGATGGTGACCCAGATGAGCTCCACGCAGTCAACCCAGAGGAGCCGCTGCTCCACCGGTATGACTCCGTAGGTGATGAGATGAGCGAAGGGCCAGAGCTTCCACCCCGCCTGCAAGAACACGAACGATTTTTAATTTAAAATACAAAAATATTCAGGAACATACATTTCATGCTAAACTTACGTATTTAATTGAAATTATTTCTTTTGACCAAAGCCCCCGGCGACCGAAGACTTGGTGAAGACAAGAATCATCAGCACGGATTCATTAAGTTGGCATCCTACTGTGTCCTAATGAGCCTGGATAGCAGTCAAACATCTTTACTATAAATGTGTTCTATTTTTTTAACAGAGGAAACTCGGACGTGGACCACTGAGTTCACCCGTTCGTGTTGACTTGCGACTCTCCTGCATGCATGAGTCCGGAAGGGGACTCCCGTCAGATCAGGGGACCCACTAAATGTCTTTGAGAGGAAAAAAATTCTGCGAAATTCAATATTCTTAAAAGAAGCCCACAAGGCCGCCGTTATGCATTAACGAAAGGTAAAGAAGTCAACCTCGGGTGGTTGACTTCTCACCGCCATGCCCATGATCCAGAATTAGTAAAAGGAAAGAGTGGATTTCTCAAGCAAACACGACGCATGTGGCATGATACACCATCGGTGTGGAATGGGAGAACCCGGGATTTCAAATAGAATGCAGGGACTCGACAGTTTGACCTTGTAGACAAATGAGATGGGACGCAAAGTGCAGTCAAGACAGCTACTATCAGTATGATGCATGTTCTAGAGCATCAGCTATTCCCATATATATATATATGCAACATAACCAGAAATTATAACCAAGACAAGCGAGAGATTTTTTTCTTTTTCTTTTTTCGTGGATTATAAACAAAAAAAGGAAAGGAGATCCGAGATAACACCAATACCAGGGCAAGGGGGGGGGGGAGGAGATTTCTTACTTTCAGCATCGGCCAGAAGGTTGCCTTCAGCTCACTAAGAATACTCGCAGGTGACTCAAAGCGAAGGAAGCCCAAAACCACGAAGTAAATGCTGTTCCACACCGCCGACCAAGCTGTCTGGTCGAAGGCCACCTTGGCTGGCACCACCCACCAATCTTGGAAAGGAAAAAGCGCCTGGAAGGAAAGTGTGCGGATTAGAGCCTCGTATATGCCAAACAGGGTAATTATTACCTGAGGAGTATCTTCTCTAAACTCAACAATCTATGTAGTAATAATAATAATAATAATAATAATAATAATAATAGCAGTAGCAGTAATAGTAATTTAGGATGCTGTTGAAAATATTTAGAAAGGAAATCAGACGCCGCTATTATGTCTCTGTGGAATATGATTGAAAGTCATGCGCAACCTCGTTGGATTTACTGTGCATCCCCTGGGGATAGGGGACTTTTCTTTCTTTTTCTTCTTTTCCTTGGGTTTTTTTTTGGTGGGGTAGAAGGGACAACAAATGAAGACAGGGAGGGAGAGGAAAATATTCTCGGCAAATGCAATAATCATGCGTGATTCGATCCGTGATGAAAAAATAAATAAAGGGAGACACTTGCTGTCTGTGAGTACCTCGCAGAAGTAGTAATAATAATGAGAGAGGGACCCGTGGAGGGTGAACCCAACGAGGCCAGATCGGAGCATGCGGGCCCGGTCGAACTCGAAGAGCGGCTTCCCTTCGTAGCACTGGAAACATGCAGCCAGAGAGAGGGTGGGGATTCCGGTTTTTTCCAGCAGGCAGATATTCTGTCTTCAATAAAATAATTTAACGACGCAGAGAATGGCAGGGGGCTTCTTCACCTGGGCGATCCAATCTCCCAAGGAGTAAACTATGCCGCTGATCATCATCTTGGCGAGAACGGGGTTCGTTTTCAGGGCCTCCTCGTAGGCAATCCAGTTGTGCTCGGGTGCGTATCTCAGGATCTCGAACAGGGTCCATCCCTAGAACAGCGCAGAAACAAGGGTGAGGATCTAGATGAGAGCTGCGAATCACACCGAATGCACCCCATCTCCCGACATCCCGCCATGAACAGCTGTGCCCAGCCACTACATGCAGCAATGCCCATGATCATTGTTGGCCTAGTTCAAATTCATCCTTGCACCGATAATGTGAGGCATTAAAGGAGAATCCCCAAATGTTAACTCTACACCTGGTGGCGAGGATGAGGAAAACCAGGAACCTCCTTGTCCCTGACCGACGGGTGAAATGACATATGTGCGGCAAAATATCATTGAGAAATTAAGCAGGCCTTGAAATGGAGAGATGTTGGCGACTGTCATCTGTTTCCTCTTAGCTGGTGAGGACAACCCAAACCGTCACAGTCACAGCATAAAAGACCAAGCACTCGAATATCATTTCGATCTCTCTACATGAAAGGGAATGTGGTGTTCAAGCATCGTCTGGCGATAATCTGATCAATTAGCATGTAATAGGGGTAGCATGGCTTTATCAGATTGCTATTAAAAAATGAGTTTATCGCTATAAATCGATGACCCATACTCTCAAGTACTTCAGAATATAGTTTAGGAACCATTCTGAGATAGAAACTGGCGACTGGATCGCCAATCACCAACGAAACGAAGAGGAGCCTGCTTCTATCGCCATTCAAGGATCGGTAGCGATTAAAGAAGGGCAGGACCGAAACCAAGGACCAAGCACGTGAAGCACACGGGAACATCGAACAGGACCAACGAAGATGGGCGGGGCAGAAATCAGGGAAATCATGAATGAATGCGATCACATGTGGAAGTGACAGCAGCTCTACGGAATAGAACCCTGTCAGAAATGAAGATGTTGCCAGAAGCAGTGCTGGATAAGAACAAATAATTTCCAGCGGGCGATGGAAAGGGCTTCACTGCATGATTATGAGGCAAGAAGCAGAGGAAACAACAGTTCAGTTACCAGTCATCAAAGCAAAACCAGAGCTCGAAGGTCACAAAAATGAAGCTTCCCGGCTATCAAGAAGACTGGCAAGGAAAAACCCCTAGGCCACGGTGGAGAGCTGTCCGCTCTCCTGCCCTGATTCCTCCATTGGTTTCGACTACAACGAGATTCAGGAAGAAATCCAAGCAACCTTGTGATGGGGGCGGTGGGCGGTTGGATGAAATCACTCACCTGCCAGTAGTCGTGGTCGATGGTGAGTAACTTTGTGATGGCGGCGGTGCCAGCGGCGAGCACAATGGATGCGTTGATGGCCCGGTCCACCGCCCGGTTGAAGTCCTCAACCTCGGGTTTATCATCTCCCGTCTGGGGCGGAGAGGATGAGGTGGAGGACGAGGACGAGGAGGATGATAAAGGGGAAGCGGAAGAGGAGAAGCCAACACCCACATCCCCAAAAGCACCGCTCTCGAACACCAACCTCCCCATCTGGCCGTCCCCTTGGACGACGACGTCCCGCTCCTCGGCCGCGGGCGAGGCAATCCCTTCCTGCTGGTCGGTGGCGTCACCGCTGCTCACCGGGATGATGTCCTTATCGTCGTCCAGAGTCACGGCCCACTTTCTGCCCCTCCCTCCCGGCCTCGAAGTTCGTCTGGAAAATTGAGGTCCCTCAACCACGCCCCGCGGTGCGCGCCGCCGGATCACCGGAAGGGAAGGGAGAGAGGGACCCCTGGAGCAGAGGAAACAGCGGGGGGAGTCCGCGACGGCGGAGTAGGATGGCGTAGGCGGAGAGAGGAACATCTGGGATGCGACCCCTCCGAGGACCGCACCGGTCGCAGCCATCTTCCCGCCCCCCCTGCGGATCCCTCACCAGATCAAAAGAACACAGCACGAAGTCGCAGCGCTTCTGAGCCTTCTCCTTCTCCGGATTGGAGAGCCTGAGGTTGGGAAATTTTCAGATCTCCGTCGGGGGATTTTGGGGAATCTCATCGGCCCATCGCGTTTCCACGGGTCCCGCAGACAGGGGGCCACTGACCGGCAAACCACGGAGAATCTTTGACCAGACTCACAAGAGGACGAGCGGAGAAGAGAATCTGCCCACGGCGTCGACGGCGAACCACGAGATATCTCCTCTCGCGGGACTCGAAGGCCAATGACTCCAGCGTGCCGGCGGCGGGGAGGGCTGCAGGCCACAAAATCCAATGGTTGAGGTCCGGACACGCTGACGGGAGCGAACCCAACCCCAGGAAAACTGTGGAACCTGGCAGACACTGCCCCGAGAATTGTCTCCGCCACCAGGTCTTCGCCCCCGAAGGCCTGCTGGGACGCCAGGCGCATCTCTCACCGAGCATGAAAACAAAATTCCGTCACGACAACATGTATACGAGAGATGTAGACCCACCCACACCTCATACCTTATCGAAGCTGGTTCAATATTTCGTGGGAATACGGTCGCCATGACTCCGGCAATCTCGAGATTTTGTAAAAGACCTATCTTTGGGTCCACAAAAAAGAGCAACTTCTGACGGCCCCCGTCCTAAGAATATTCCTCATAGAGCTCCATCACCCAACTCATCCCCATTATGTTATATTTCACATTTATGCTATTCAATCTGGGTTGACCATGATTCGCAACGAAATGGACCTCTTATCATGTCCATCTCCTCCAACTCCCCCTCCATCTAGCGCTATTACGAGTGCCAGTGCCTTCCCAAACATCATGCGGGATTCCCACCAGTAAGAATTTGGCAAACGATCAAAGATCTCTTAAAGCCGTGTTCGTCTCTTGACGTCCATCTTCGATTGGGTTTACTCCTTTCGAGCTCAGATTTTTACAGATGCTGTAGTCTTTGCTCCTCTCCATTCATGAATTCACAGAGATTGGGTGATGAAAGGATGGCCGCTGAATATAGAATTCCAAAACGTCAACATCTCACACCAACTGTATGAGGACGTCAACCCTTCCGGTTCTTGAGGATGTACGGCTACAGTGTCTCCTCAATCAAGTCAACTTTATATGTTCTGATTGGAATAGGCATTACGACATAATCACAAATTTACTATCACAGTAATCGACAATAGGTTATTTCTGACACTCCACCATGTGTGACATAGAATGTTGTGTTAACAGAAGGGTGATATACGCACAGTGGAAGACGATTTGCAAAATGTACTACGGATAATCCCAAATTATCAAGAGAAAAGTTTGGAGACGACAAGAGTGAATATACATGAAAATGTATGAAGAAATGATGCACCAGCATTTACATGGTTGGATAAATTCTCCTACATCGGCTAAGAGATCTAAAACGATTTCCTCGAGTGGGAGAAGAAAGTAAAAGAGAATCTTACAAGACAATTGCATCTTTTTCCTCGACACAATGTTGAATAAGTATTCCTCTATAAGATGGTGGGCTCAAAATAAATCTCTAGATTCTAAATGAGACTTACTAAAGAAATAAATGAATGAATCACTCGAGTCTCTCACGATCTCCCTTTCTTCTCTGGTCTCTCAAATAAGAGAGAGAGAGAGAGACCTGAAAGATGTGAGCTCATGCACCTCGTCTCCTATTTTTTCCACGTCCTCACGCCTCACCACTTATCACTTTATCCCCCACATCCCTCCTCTTCTACTCTTCTAACAGAGGGGAGAGAGGGCGAGAGAGGGAGGGAGGGAGAAATGAATGTGAGTCCATTTGGGAACAACTCACCTGTTCTGTCAAGTCAATGACAACAATAGAAATGGGTAGACTTCATGTGCAGTCACCGTCTTTAATATCGTATTGTAATTCTTGAGCCATCCAACTCCAAACCATTTGTCTATGAGTAAAGTAGGCTCATCTTTATAGTATATTGTTTGGTTTTATAAGAACCAATATTATTTCTATTTTTAAAAACTAATGAAATAAATAATTTGTGGTCGCACTTTATGTTGTCCTCCAATTTTAGCTTAGAAAATATAAAAAGAGACAAGGTGGGTGCATGTATATTTTTTCGAATAATGTCTTGAAGATGCTTGAAAAATATAATATCAACTTCTAGTAAGAAGAGGGTGAATGATCTTCTTCAATAGTAACCATAAATATAATCTATCACCGCTATTGTTCCTTAAACACAAGCAATGGGTCCATTTTAGAATTGGAAAAAAAAGACACATTTACTGATTCATGCCTGATGAACCATGAAGATGGACGTGGAGGAGAACTATGGCTCATACTTTAGTGCCATGCCTGATGAACCATGAAGATGGACGTGAAGCAATGGTATGCTCAACATGAATATATATGGCTAATACTTCAGCAACACTGCTTGCATTTCCGTGTGAAGAAGAGATTGTTTGACAAAGGAGCTAAGCAATCTGCAAATACGGAAGATGGTATTGTTATCCTCTTGGACTTTCCAAGGCAGGCATTTGATGCTCGGTGATATCACGGTATGCTTGATTCATCGTCCAACTTCATCGATGTTGTATAGGCTCTCTCCTCTTCCTCCTTTTCATCATCGTCTTCCTTTTTGGATATCAGACACTTTGAAGAATTAAACATACCTTAACAAGTTGAAAAGACATGGAGCTCCCATAGTTGGCCAGGATGGAACACCCTGAGCATGGGAGACATGAAGGCACACAGGCACGCCTTTTGGTTGCCAAAGGCCTCCTACAAGCATCGACTCGTCCTCTTCCTTGTTGTCTTCGTCCTTTTCTGATGTACAAACCATACGCCTCATTGTTCATGATTGCTCATCCCCGGGATGGGGCCGCAGATTGCTGTTCGTTGACAACCCTCAAATCCTGAGATCCGACAGTCAACCTATAGAGACGAGTTTGAAGGGATGAACAGGTGGATTCTCGTTGAGTCTTCCTCGTCTATAAAGACTGGAATTCTTTGGGGCATTCTGGGTTTTCCTCGTCTGACCCTCGTTGGCTTCCTCCTCCATCGCACGTCTAAGATCGGTCATACTGAACACAAGACTTCGTGACAAGGGTCGTTGAAGTAGAGAGGAACCTTTAATACATGGATCAGGGAGGCGTATCGGAGAAGGGACAGCCCATGGTAGAAAACTGCATGGAAGTCGGCGTCGCCTTACTAGGCATACAAGCAGTGATCATCTTGGCTTGCCATCCGCTCAGCGCGTGACCATAGTAAGTCACCGAGAACCCCACCCACTATAGCAGTCTTGAATGTTTTTATGATGACAAAGGGTAACATGGTAATGTTGGATGATAAATTTATATTCCTCATCAAGTATAAACTGTTATAGATTAAGTCAGATAATTAAATCAGAAGAAATTGGCTAAAAGGCTAAACAGTCCATATTCATACTTCAGATGATTAAAATATTTTTGGATGTAAGTTTATGTTGCATTTGTAAGCATGTGTGTACTCACTAGAAACTAATTGTATGGGAAACACAATGCAGCACATCACATTTCAGATATTTTGATTTACTATGATGTTTACAAGATTAATGTGTTAGATTGTGGCATTGGCCCACTATGGACCTCGCCCATTAGGGCAACTATAAACCTTTGTATGGCGCCCCTTTCCCTCTCAGGATTCTAATGGTTTACGGTGCCCTTCTCTCCACATGGTATCAGAGCCATAGGGGCTAGATGTATCGCCATTCCCTAAGGGTTTTCCACTCCACTACTTGTGCCACCATTCCTCATTGCCAATCCTCTGGTGGCGTCTTCGGTGCTGCCTCTATTTGTGATGGCCTCATCAGGGCGTCCAGCCCCTCACCGGTGGCCTTACCCATTAGTTTCTCCACGTTGCTGCCCACCCTGATTTGAGCCGCATGCTGATCCTTTCTCGCCCTCAACGCCAGCACGTCCATACCAACATCTCTCACCCTCTATGCTGGCTCGTTGCCCCTCTAGGCGCTGATCTCAAGGTGTCCATTCCTCTCCTGTGCTGGCCCGTGATCTCCAAGGCCTCATATGCATCAGCCTATGTGCACAGCTTCTGTCTCCTTGCGCACCATTTGCTCAAGCCTCTTGTCATCTCAGTGAGTTCAATCTCTTCCTTCGATGGCAAATACACTGGGGTCATCCTCCCATGACTCACCCTTACCTTTAGTGATGATATTCTCTACCTCACCTTTTGTCTCGTTCCCTCCCCGACATTCCATTATGACTACATTGACTCACCTGGCCTACATTTTTTACGGCATCAATTATGACTTGTGGGCATCTACATTTGAAGACTTCTTTCACGCCTATCAACTTCTACATCACCTCTAATTGTAGTTGCCTGATGTCACGTCTCCAAACTACCTTCATTGGGAGCATCTTGACTTTGCCATCACCACCTTATTTTGTCAAAGTGTTGAGTCTTTCATTATTCGGCCTCTCAATTATTTGAAGCCAGCTCATTTATTATGGTAAACTCTCGAGATGATGTATGCAAACAAAATGAACATTAGTCACACTATTCGTCTTTATGAATCACTCTTTGCTTATAAATAAGATAGTTGATCGCTCTAGGAGTATTTTGACAAATTACAAGATATCGTCACCGAGCTATCTGTCTATCAACCACCGACCACGGATCTGTCTACTCTCACTTATTATCGTGACAAACTCTATGCATGGGCTTTTGTCAACAGTCTACATCTGGAGCTCACCAATTAGATCCATGGCTAGGTACTTTTTGGCACTCAGCTTCCTTCGATGACACATATCTTCTCAAAATCTCTTCGTGTACACACTAGCACGCCTCTTGCTCCTACCGCTCCTATAGCTCTTGACCCCTCTACATTTGTTACTACAAGTATTGGTGGAGGTCGTGGCTCCAAGACTA